TCAGATAGAAGACTTGAACAGCACTATCAACCAACTAGACCTGACTGATATTTATAGACACTCTACCTAAAAAGAGCAGAATATATATTAATTTTGACCACACAGAGAACATTCTCCAGGATAGATAAAATGCTAGGCAATTTTTAGTCGAAATAATTTTAACATGATTGGAAGAATTAAAAAAATTTTCTAAGCAGACAAAAATATTAAATTAGAAATCAACAGAAAGAAATTTGTGAAAATCCCCAAATATCTGCAAATTAAACAGCAACTTCTAAATAAACAACAGGTCCAAAAAGAAATCACTAGGGAATTTAGAAAATATTTTTGAACTAAATAAAATTGAACTCACTGCATATGAACATTTATGAAAAGCAACAAATGCAGGTCATAAAAGGAAATTCATAGCTTTTAAATGCCTATTCTAGAAAAGAAGAAAAGTATCAAGTAAATAATCAAAGCTTCCACTTCATGAAAAGGGAAAGAGTAGATTAATTATTCCCAAAACAAGCAAGAGAAAGGAAATCAGAAATCAATTATATCAAAGCAGAAAAACAATAGAAAAATCAAGAAAAGCAAAATTGACTTTTTTAAAAGATTAACAAAATTGACAAACCTTTTGGCAGACTGACCAAGAAAAAGAGAAAGTACAAATTATCAAAATCAAGAATGAAAAAAAGTCATCTCTATTGCCATTAGAGAAATTAAAATAATTAAAAGATAATATTATGAACAAGTTTATAAAGCCAGCAAATTAGACAACTAAAATGAAATGGACAAATTCTTCAGAAGACACAAATTATCAAAACTGACTCAAGAAGAAACATAAAACAGAAGAGATCTAAAACCAGTAAAGAAATTGAATTAGCTATTTAAAATATGCTGACAACTTTGGACTTACACAGATGCACATGGATAGAAAACTCATTAATTGGGCCCTGGGTAGAAAAAGAATGATTCCAAGGAAATAAAAAACCCAAACTCGAAACTTATGAAGATTTAGAGATCAAAACTCAAGCTAAGAAATTAATATGGTAATTGGTCTAGAACCAGTAAAACTCCTCGGATCCTTATAGAGTCAAAAAAGCAGCCAAAAGTTTACTGATTTCTATAGAAAATAATAGATGAAGATGAGATCAGTATAAAATACGTAGAAACCATAATAAAAACAACTCAATACCAGGGAGGATCATCTGAAGCAAGATATGATAGATTAGATTGTTGTTCACTATCTTCCCCCTTTAGATAGAAATATTTTCTTGTCACACAGATTCTTGGTTTGGACATGTTACTTATTTTGGCTAAAGGATATGAGTAAAAGTGAAAGTATGCCAGTTTCCAGCTAATACCTTGTGGGGCATCCTATGTTTCTACTCACTCTTTTATACTTTTGTCATTTGCCATGTGAAAACCATGCCCCTGGGAGCTGCTAGCCAAAGACAAGAGACACACGGAGCAGACCTGAACCCATCAGTCTTGAGCCAAGCCCACCGGATCTGCAGCCAACCCAGAGACCCATGAGTGAAAAAAATTGCTTATTGTTGTAAGCTATTGAGTTCCAAGGTGATTTATTACAAAGCATTATTGTAGTAATAACTGATTAATTCACATGACAAAACAATGTGAAACAAAACAAAATTCAAAGATTGAACATTCTATTAATTACTGAGATCTTCCTCCACGGTAGAGGCATTCTTGTGAGCATTTATATGGGACCCAATTACCTTTATATTTCATTCTTTCTGAAAGGTCAATCCCCAAAACACTCTCCCAGACTTATTTTCACCAGTCTTACATTCATGTTCTTTCCAACTCCCTGACCACTGCGCAATCCCTTTTGCCACTTCCCACCTATACTCTGGGCTAATTCTCCTTCATGGTGATTTGCCTTCACCTCTCCCCTATTGAGCTTGTAACACAGCAGCTCCCAAATTATGTCAACATACCATTTGAATCCATTCATAAACCATGGCTGTGATTTTTTTCTCTTCTGTCATATGGTCATAGGGAAGTACCCATGGAGCCATAAATGTAGGTTAAGGGAAAGACAGGAAATCTATAGAAGCAGGTACAATGGGAATATCAGGGGAATCTGAGTCGGTTTATTTGTGCCTTCAGATGCTGCTTAGACATATGTACTCTTTTATTTTTTTAAGGAAACATTGTTATGCACATCTAATTTTATAATCTGTAGGATCAAATAGCAGCCAATTCATGATGAAAAACTTATTTCTGGTTATCTTTTTTGATAAGGAGAATAAAAAGCATTTGCTAGATGACTGATGCCTATTGGGTACAAACGGCTGTCATTTTGGAGAGGGGGACGCAGTGACCAAGCAGAGAGGAAGGTAGCCAGGGGTATAAATATCCCAGCCTCATTCTTCTCCATTATCTCCCATGGTCTCTTGTCACTGATTCCCATTGGTTGAACCCAGCAGGAAGACAGAGTGCAAAAGATATCTTTGATGCTGTCTATTATGAATCAGCCTCACAGGCCACAAAACAAAAGATACAAGCGGACATGGGGTTTTTAGGGGGTGGATGGATCTGGAGAAGTAACCACAAGATATCTAGAAAGAAGTGAATTTCCTTAATTTTATATAAAAAATTTTTCTTAACTACAAACATCGTACTTAATATTAGGGCTGTTAAGGAGATTAGAAGTTTTTCCTGTCACATATGCTAGGGACTCTGAGAATCTAAACATTATAAAAATACATAATACTACAATTTGTAAAGAAATTCATAAAATTTAGAGATTATATCCTAAATATATCAATATAATGGCAGTATATTCCTGAAAGTACTTTTCAAGAATATGTCACAAATAGAAAGCATTTAAGAAAATATAGTAACAATGAATTTAAATTTCATTGCATGTGCTGGCTATTTAAAATAAAGCAGATGAACATAAATTTCAGTTTTTTAAGTAAATCTTTAATAGTATTGAATAAAATGCAACCCAAGCAATAAATTATCACTAATGGCAAGAATGTATTCCACCATTCAAAATGCATTTATTAGGTACCTAGAATGTGCACGCACATATCTCAATTTAATTTTTGGTAATTCCTTAAGTAGAACTCCATATAGACCCAAAACTACAATATCTAAACACTCTTATAAAGGGTATATGAGATTACATATAAATTGATTGCCAAAAACTAAATAAAATCAGCCCTCAACATTGACTTTTCTATTACTACTGACAAGGAAAGTCCTCCCAAACAATTAGTAAAATTGCAGATGACTCCTTGTGGATATGAATATGAATCTGCTCAAGAATCTACTGGGATCCAGAATTTCCCAGGATGCCTATTCAGACCCTACTGTAGTCTCGGTTGTCTCTAAAACACCAATATATATGTATGTATGTATTTATAAATTACATACCTATGCTACTGTTTTAGTAGAGTATGTACATCATAAATATATTCAAAAACCTTGTGAATCAGAACAAATATACCACAAGCCTGAATTATTTATTTTTATAAACAGCTGTAGATACCAAATATTTTATAAAACACATTACTTTAAAGTGTTAGTAGAAAAAGGTCCACTCTTACCTGAGTTTAGAGTGCTTTTTGCATAATTTTTATAGTTAACTCTTTAGTAAAAGGTAACAAAGAGCATAGACAAAGGCTGGATTAAATTCATTCCCAGCCTAGGCCCTGGGCCCATTTCCTGCTTCTTGAGTTCTGCTCCAGAAGGGAGTGAACAAATGGAGAGTTCAAGCCGTGAGCTCAGTATTACTTTAAAAAGAGGAAACAGCCATTAAACCTACATTTAATTTATTTTATTAAAATAACATAATTGAGGAAATATTGGGTAACTGTATTTTGTCAGATGCAATAAAAAAACGTTAAAACCCAAATCATCAAGAAAAAAATTAGAAAAAGAATAAAATTTAAAATTATAAAGAAAAGTTCTAATCTTTTCTTGCAACTCCCTGAAATGTGTATACTCCACTTTGGAGACAACAGTTTTAGAAGACTTATACTATTATAACAAAGGTGTATGTATGTGTTCAATTTGACACATAATTTGAATTAATGGCTATTATTCCAGAGTAATAATTAATAGCACCTCTTTTACTCTCAAAGGGTCTTGATTTAAATGACAGGTTTTATGGGCACCCTAATATAACCCATTTACAAAGCATATGAATCTTGAATTAAAATTTTCACCCTATGATAGTGTAAAAAACTTCCAGAATCAGGTAGTCATGCATGTTTGATAAGGACAGTGTTTGGAGAAGAAAAAATCCAATACCTTTAGACTGACACTTTACCACAGGTCCCTCACTCTGTAGTCTAAAATACAACATTTCCTTATTGAAAACATCTGTTACCTGCATGACTCTTGGAAACATGTTAAGCTTCACTGCCTGCTAGAAGTTCCCAAAGAATATTTACTATTGAATTCTCAAAAGCAGATTCATGTAGTTCCTAAAATATCACTTAGAACTCTTATGTTTTCCTAGTTTTAAAGATGTGGCTAATGACACCAACTAACAATCACTTTTAATTTATAAATTTCTAGTAACTGCCTATTGAAATACTGAAATATAGTAGTCACTATAGGAAATATTTGCCAAATGTTTGCATGCTCCTTGGGTACCATAAATCCCATGGAGTTTCCAACAAATACCAATTAACAGCAGGTCTAGGTTTGCTCAGTGCAGTCCAGTTGATGCCTGTAAGCTCAGCATTATCATTTATAGCATCTTTCAAAAGTGCACTGGTTTGGATGCAAAATAATATTTTATATTCACTCTAAACAGAGGTGATTTTTTTATTCAAAACTTCAACTGATTATCCATGCCTCTCCAACAAAGTAAATGGCAATATGAAAAATCTTTATTATTACCTTTCTGCACAGCTAATGGGATTTCTTGAAGTTTCCAGATTGACCAAGAATCAATTTTCATGTTAATCTTTTTCTTTCTTGATTTTTGTTGTTTTAAAGCTTCTTCAGCTTCTGCACGGTCAGTTTCTAGACTTTTAATGAGATGGATGGCCTCTGATAGCAATGTTTCCATTTCCTGCTTTAATTCTGGACACTCTGCATTTTAAAATAGGAATATGTATTCACATTTGTTAATGAATCAGCCTATAAACCAGGTGGTGGGAACATGGGTACTAGTTGCATCACTATTCTTTTTAATATTTATATATTTAATAAGAGGATTTTAGAAAAATGAATTAGTCTTTTAAAGACAGTTTTATTATAATATAATCATTATATTGATTATAACCTTTGAAGAAAGATTCTTAAATGAGTATTTTATAAAATAATTAGAATAGCTAAATCTCAACCAATATCTTCATGCATAACATCATTTTATCTGAAGGAAAAAAAACATTATTCATAAGCTGTATTACAGAGTTTTATTTTTAAATTATGCTTGTGTTTCCTTCCATTCTATGAGAAAAGCAAATCATAATGATCAGATAAATACTGAAAAATCCTCAGATGGTTCCTAGAAACAAGACACTTTATATTCTTTATCTTATCAGAAAATGACATCCCTAGTTAGCCTTGCCAGGAATTCATTCTATTTATTCAGTTATAATACAAATTAACTCCTTTAATGGGAGATATTTGTGATTCCTGGTTCACAGCTCTGGAATGATATAGTTTAATGTTAACAAAATGATTAACATTGGTATTCATTCGTCTATTTATGCAAGAAATGGGGAGTGAGCATGTTATGTTCTAGGCAATATGCTCTCTCTCTGGAGATAGATCAGTAAGGAAGACAGCTAGGGGCCCCACTATGGTGAGATTTATCCCTGTAAACAGTGACTTTTGCCAAAATGTGACATGACAAGAAAACATAAAGAAACACACTGTCAAGAAAGACAAAGCCCCCAAAGAGCTGAGGCTGGAGGAAAAACAGCAAAACTAGATCAAGAAGAAAGGCAACTAACAGACCTTTGTTTTCTTTTGCTTTTGGACAATAAAGACAATGGTTGCCTGCTACAAGGTACTATTATATAATAGTTGAAAGAGCAAGCTTAGCAGTCACACAGTTTCTACTTCTAATCTAGTGGGCTTATCAAAGAAATTCAGCATGCTGCCTGAAAAGAATTCTTGATAAACAGGTTTCTCTTTTGTAATGCATAAAACTTCTCTTTTTCTGGACTGGTCCTTTATTTGGTCTCCATTTATTTGGTCTACCGTCTTCTCTTTTTCAAATTCAATCACATCCTGGACACTTTATATTCTTAATTGTCTTTTTTTTTAACGACAACATACACATTGAACATTGTTCTCCAGCTAACTTATGATCCATTCAATTTCTATAACAAGATTTCAATCTGGAACACACAATACAGTTAATGCCACTTAAAATTAAAGCACTTCTCATTGGATATACATGTGTTTTAACAAAGATATCCATTATGTGTGTACAAAATATCTTTTATACTGTTTCTACAATAGCATTCTAAAATAAATGCTGTATGTATAACTTGGGGTGCCTCCAATTCATTGTATTTAACATCTCTCAATTTTTTTCCATAATACCCTCTCAGTTAGTTTTACTGTTTCACATTGAGTAAGTGAGAAACCACTTGCAATTTTTTTTAGCATAAACACTTAATTATAATAAATCGTCCTCATCCTGATACTATCTTGTATTTTTAGAGTCAAATGTACATATATCTACTAAACATAATTGCAGTTAATGTAACTGTTATTTTGCCCGTTAATATATTAATCTTTTCTCTCAGCATTGGTCATGTGAAAAATTAAGAAGTAATGAATGAGGTTTTATCTTCATTGTAGACATAAATTGTGAAAAGGGAAACAATAAAAACAGAGCCTCACTCTGAATGACAACTTTGAATAACAAAATATTTGTGCTTTCAAAAAGTCCTGAGTTTATTAATTATCCTTCACTAAAGGAAGTCGTTTAACAAATTTTTGTGGCGAGGAGAGGAGGAGGTGTTTAATATAATATCAAGAATATATTCAAATATGCTGAAGTAATTTTAACACAAAATTTTATACCAGTATATAAGTTATTTAACATTTTGTAAATTGTGACAACAATATTAATCTTAATTTATGTATACTGTAGAGCTATGATGCCCAGCATGGTAGCCATGAACCACATGTGACTATTTACATTTAAATGTAAGTTAAACTTCAAAAATTAAATTCCTCAGTCACATTTGCCACATTTTAAGGACTCAACAGCTATATGAGGCTAGTAGTTACTCTATTGGACAGTGCGGATATAGAACACTTTATCACAGAAAGTTCTACTGGGCAGAACTTAACTAAATTAGCTTCTTGAGAGGTGGGCAGGGATCATTATATACTCAGGACCTAGAGAAGCATATGGTATATGATAGTCATTGATAAAAATTTGTTGAGTAAATGTTTAATCAAATGATATAGAAGGCTTTTTCCTCTATTAGACACTCATAAGAACTATAAAACTCTTAAATGTAATTACATTGAAAATTACTAAATGAAAAGTCAACGAGTTTTTAAATATAATTACACTTATCTAAGTATGAGGCACAACTCTACCTCTCTCTTCTGGTTTGACCTCTTTCACTGGTGTAACAATACTCCAATCTTCTTTCAGGACTTTTGTTGAAGAAGTTCTGCTCCTACATAATGGGAAAGAAGAAACCAACTAATAAAGGAGGGCTGTACTTAAAGTCAGTAAAACAAATTTTAGGTGATGCTCTTACATTGAATTTTAAATGTTTGTGGTGAAACTTACGATACATGCTAATTCTAGTATATAGGCGATTAATATAGCAAAATTCTAATATGTAATGGGCTTTAAACTTTATAGCAAATTAATAGAAATTTAAAATTTGTTACAAATGACCTGAAAATTTTTGAGGGGATATTAAACCAGCATTTTTTAAATAAAATTGGTCATTCCTAGACAGTGTTGTTATCAGAAAAAGAAAGTTTATTGAAAATAATTTGAATGAGCTATTGCTCTAATTTCAGTTTAGCAGTTTCTGGGAAACAAATATAAATTACAAGGAGCAAAATACTATTTCAGATTTGAAGTTAATAAGGTTTTAGAAAAATGTCCAAATTAATAGAAAAATGTCCAAATTAAAATGTTATTTCTTTTCTAAAGAATCTTTCTAGCTACAGTTTTTCATGTTGAATAATGAAATAATTCTCATTATCACTATTTCTCTGGTCCAATTCTTGAGTCCTAGACTAATTTCCATTGAATTTAAAAAGAATTATTTTTCCTCTGATAAAAGTTGTAAGAAAATCAGTACCAACAACAAAGCAAGGAGTTTCATTTTTATGAAATTATTTTTTCTTATTAAAGAAGCATTACAAATTAAAGTTGTATACACACCAAAAATCATAAAAAATATAAAATAATCCATATTAATTCACTCTTTTCAAATATAACATAGAATATAACATTTTAGTGATATTTCAATTTTTATAAAATTATAGTCATAAGATTTTGCATGCTGCTTTAGTTACATGACATTGTTTCCTATGTATTTGACTACCACTTAATATTATCATTTAATATTTCATGTTATTTGTCTCATTATTATTCCAGAACTTAATTAGGAAAGTCTGTCTAACCTGAGGTGAGGGAAATATTCATTATATTTTTGTCCTTTAGTTTTAATTGCATTTTTAAATATTTTTGTTGAATAATGTAATGTATTTTTTCTTGTTTGTTTCCTTTTAAAAAAAGTAGAAAAATAATTGTCCCAGCATCTATTATTAAATAATTCTCTCCCCACTGACTTGTAATACCAATTACATGATATAGTAAATTATTATACATAATTAGATCTATTTTCGTGTATTTTATTCTAAAATTCAGTTAAAATTATTTTTTAGACCAGTATAATTTTAACTTTTAAATTTCTTATTGTGGCAAAAGTCACATAACATAAAATTAACCATTTGGAAGTGCAAAATTCAATGGCATTTAGTATATTCAGTGTTGTGCAATCATCATCCCCATCTAGTTCCAAAACACTGTCATCATCTCAAAAGAACACCCTTTATTTATTAAGCAATCTCTTCCCTTTCCCTCTCCTACTAGCCCCTGGTAACAACTAATTTGCTTCCCATCTCTATGCATTTCTCTATTATGGATATTTCATATAAATGGAATCATACAATAGGTGATCTTTTGTGTCTGGCTTCTTTAACTTAGCATAATAGTTTAGAAGTTTACCATGTTGTAGCATATATCAGAACTTCATTATTTTTTATGATTGAATAATATTCCATTGTAAAGATGAACCACACTTTATCTATTAGTCCACTGAAGGATTTGAGGTTGTTTCTACATTTTGGCTATTGTGAATACCGATGATATGAACATTTTGTACACAAGTTTTTCTTTGAACATCTGTTTTGAAATCTTTTGTGTATACACTTCGAAGTGGAATTGTTGGGTCATATGGTAATTCTAGGTTTAACTTTTTTAACTTTTTTAAGGAATCACCAAACTGTTTTTCACAGTAGCTGAACCATTTTACATTCCCACCAGCAATGTATGAGGGTTCCATTGCTGAATAAAAGTGGCAAGAATGGGCATCCTTGTCTTGCTCTTGATCTTAGGTTGAAAACTTTCAGTCTTCACCATTTAGTATAACGTCAGTCAAGAGTTTTTCATAAATGTTCTTTATCATGTTTTGGAAGTTCCCTTTCAATCCTAGTTTTTTGAGTGTTTTCCTCACAAAAAGGTGTTAGATTTTGCCACATGCCTTCCACAACAATTGAGATGTTCACTTCACATGGGTTTCTTCCCTTCATTTTATTACTGTCATGTATTACATTATTGGTTTTTGTATGTTGAACCACGCTCATATTGTGGGGACAAATCTTACTTGGTCATGATTTATAATTCTATTAATCTGTTGCTGGATTCAGGTTGCTAGTATTTTGTTGAGGAGTTGTGTATCTATACTCATAAAGTCATTGGTCTACATTTTCTTTCCTTGTGATGTCTTCATCCGGCTTTAGTATCAGGGTAATGCTGACCTCATAGAATGAGTTAGGAAGTGTTCCCTTCTCTTCTACTTTTTGAAAGAGTTTGAGAAGGACTGGTATTAATTCTTCTTTCAATGTTTAGTAGAATTCACCAGTGAAGCCATCTGGTCCTGGGCTTTTCTTTGTTTGGAGATTTTTGATTAATACTTCAATCTCTTTACTTGTTACAGATCTGTTTAGATTTTCTAGTTCTTCCTGAGTCAATTTTGGCAGTTATTGTGTTTCCAGAAATTTGTCTATTTCATCTTGGTTTTCTAATCTATTGGCATACAACTGTACATAGTATTATCTTACAATCCTTTTTATTTCTGTAAGCTCTGTAGTAATGTCTCCAATATTTTTTTTGATTTTAGTAATTTGAGTCTTCTCTTTTTTGTCAGTCTAGCTAAAGATTTACGAATTTGTCAATATCTTCAAAGAAACAACTTTTGTTTTCATTGATTCCATTTACTGTTTTTTTACTCTCTATTTTATTTATCTCTGTTCTAATCTTTATTTCTTTTCTTTTGCTAGCTTTAGCACACTCATTATTTTCTAGTTCTGTAAGGTATAAAGTTAGGTTACTATAAATTTCCCTCTAAGTACTGCTTTTGCTGCATTCCATAAGTTTTGGTACACTGTATTTTCATTTTCACTTATCTCCAAGTATTTTTTAATTTCTCCTGTGATTACTGCTTTGACTCATTTTTTTTTTAAGTGTGTTGTTTAACTTTTGTATATTTATACGAATTTTCTAGGCTTCCTTCTGTTACTGAATTTTAGTTTCATTCTACTGGTCAGAGAAGATACTTTGTAAGACTTCAGTCTTTTTAATTTCATTGAGATTTGTTTTGTGGCTTAAACATACAATCTATCCTAAAGAATGTTCCATGTGAATGCGAAAAAAAATGTGTTTTCTACTGTTGTTGAGTGGAGTGTACTGTATAAGTCAGTTAGGTCTAGATGATTCTAGTGCTGTTCACATCTATTTCCTTGTTGATCTTTTTAGATATTTTATCCATTATTAAAGTGGGGGTATTGAATTCTCCAACTCGTATTATAGAACTGTCTATTTCTCCCTTCATTCTGTCAGTTTATACTTCATGCATTTTGAGGTTAGGTTGTTAGGTGTGTAAATGTTTATAACTTTTATATCTTCTTGAAGGAGTGACCTTTTTATCAAGATATCAAGTATTCTCTGTCTCTTGCAATATGTTTTGATGTAAAGTCTATTTTGTGTGATATGCCCATAGCCACTTCAGCTCTCCTTTGGTTACTATTTTCATGGAATATATTTTTCATCCTTTCACTCTCAACCTACTTGTGTCTTTGGATCTCATGTGAGTCTCTTATAGACAGCACATAGTTGGATCATATATTTTTATCCATTCTACCACTCTCTACCTTTCAATGGGACAGTTTAATCCATTTTCATGTAAAGTAATTACTGATAGAAAAGGACTTACTTCTGTCATTTGGCTATTTGTTTTCTATATTACTTACATCTTTTTCATTCTTTCATTTCTCCAAGACTGCCTTCTTTTGTCTCTAGTTAATTTTTCTTCTACTTTTTGTTTTAGTTTCTTTCTTACTGGATTTCTGTTTTGTTTTTTTTTAGAATTTTTCTTAGTGGTTCCCTGCGGATTACAATAAACATCTTAACTTCATAGATGTTAAGTTTGAATTTAAATCATTGTAGTATCAACAGTATTAAAAAATTCTATTCCTGCTTAGCTCTGCTCTGTCCTTTATGTTGTCATTTTCACAAATTACACATTTATATACTGTTTGCTCATTAACATAGATTTATAATTATGGTTTCATCCATTTGTTTTTTAAATTATATAGGAAAATATGAGGTATAAAATAAAAATGAAATTATACTGACTTTTGTATTTATCTTTGTATTTACCTTTATTGTTGTTCTTTATTTCTTCATATGGCTTTAAGTTATTGTCTAGTGTCCTTTCATTCTGCCTGAAGGACTACCTTTAGGATTTTTCATACGACAGGTCTGTTGGTTTTTGAAGACCTGAAATCCCCCAGTTTTTGTTTATCTGGGAATATCTCAATTTCTCTTTTATTTTTGAAGGACACTTATGCAGGATTCAGAATTCTTGTTTGACAGAATTTCTTTCTTGCAGCACTTTAAATATGCATTTCTACTGCCTTCTGGCCTCCATAACTTCTTTTTTTTTTTTTTTTTAAAGATTTT